GTCTTATTCGCAGAAAAAAAGTTGAAATTTGTAGACCAGTGTAATATTTTCGATGCTGTTTTTTAACTTTTCCGATTTAGACTTGTGGGGTATCTTTACCATTTTTATTTCTTTGCCCTTAAACACGTCTACCGAGTTATAAAAAAATGCCAATTGGTTCCTCAAAATTTCATACGGTGGGACAAGGTACAAAGGAAGTACATACATATCAGATGCAAACCGAACCGACCAATGAAAGTACAGGTGAAGCCGGAAGCCTGTGAATGCATACAGGGTCTAAGGGCCTTGGCCACCCTATGATATTTTTCACACGTCACTGCCATCTATTTTCCATTACCAATAATAATTCGCTGCAAAAATAGTTTGATTTTATTTTGTTTTAAAAGCGATTCCCAGAGCTAAATTATTTTCATAAATTTCTCACCGTTTATTCATTAGGTATGAGAGAACTACGCTCATTTTTGTATTCAGTAATTTGGAGTCTCGAGTCCTAAAAACATCTAATTTAGAAAAGTTTTTTCTAACCGCGGTCACCCTTCGGCAGGCACTGGTAAGCCCCCTCTGCCCCTCATAAAAACCATTCGCTTTCGAGAGGCGACGGAAAATTCTGTAATTATATCAATACGTACCAGGGATGTTGCGAATATTTGCTTTCGCATTCGTTATGCAATTGATTCGCATTACTTTAGGTATCCGTAATCGACATTCGCATCAAATGATACGGATGTTTTGCGAATGCGAATACGTACATGGGCAGAGAGTCCACTCTAACATTGTTAAAATTGTTCTACGTCTGTCTAACCAGGGTGCGGACAATAACCGGTTTTTAGCTTCAGGCGCTAAATGGTAACGAGTACTGCTAAAAGTCTTATAAACAACCTAGAAATAATTTTAGATTCCTCCAGCGAAAACGAAGGCTCGGATGTAGAATCTGGAGATATTAAGAAATTGGAAATTAAATCTCAATTGAAGGTCAATCTTAAAGAAAAATGAGTTCATCTCTGTGAAAATAATCTCGATTGGCGGAAAACTATACTAAAATACGACAAATTGACTGATCTGGCCCGCAAATATTTGAGCCCTCCAACCGCCAGCGTTGCAAGTGAGCAATTTTTCAGTGCAGCCGGCCTTATATACGAGCCTCTAAGAAATCGCCTCATGGGAGAAAAGACAGCAAAATTACTTTTTTGAAATATATTACGCCCCTAATTTGCAAACTTTTTAAGTAACAAAAACGATGAATAAAGTTGATTATAGCCTTTTTAATGCTATTCCTAACATTCGCATACCGAATGTAAAAAATATGGCATTCGAAACATCCCTAATACGCACATCACACTGGAGCAGA